GAGAATATCCCCGAGAGTCCTGTTCGTGATCTCGGTCTGACCATCAGTCTGAGGATGGTAAGACGAGGAGAAGCGGAGCTGAGTGTCGTACACCTCGTGCAGCCGTCGCCAGAATCGGCTGGTAAAGCGCGGGTCACGGTCAGATATGATGCTCAGAGGTAAGTCGTGGTCAAGCACGACTCGGTCAAATACGATGTCGGCGACCTCACGTGCACTGATGGCATAGGGGCACGGAACAAGGCGTGCACGCTTCGTGAAGCGGTCGACGACGACCAGGATAGCATCATGACCGCGGGGGGTCGGAGGTCGAAGAGGACCGATAAAGTCCATCGAGATGGACTGCCAACGGCCCTCAGGGATAGGAAGAGGCTGGCGCAAAACATAAGGTAGATGGTTCGCACTGTTCACCTCCTGACTGGTGGGACACTCGTAGTCCTTCATAAAGTCCTTGCGCTTCGGCCAGACGTACAGGCGGCTCACACGAGCCAACGTCTTGTGGAAGCCCATATGACCGGAAGCTGCCCGGTCATGGAACTCTGCTACTGCTCGGACACGTAGTTGTCCAGTGGAGTACACAAGACCGTTGTCCCCGAGAGAGTAGTTCGGGACGGTCTTGCCACTCCGAAGGGTCGCGAGGATGTCGCGATAGTCGGGGCAGTGGCGGTACTGAGTGCGAAACTCGTCAATCACCGAGTGGTGGACGGTGCTGACCGAGATGGAAGAGAGCTGGATGTGCTCCTGGTCGTGGTCAGGGCGCCGGGATAGGGCATCGGCGACCCGATTAGTCTCACCCTTGATGTGCTCAGTGGTGAAACTAAACTCGAATAGGTCGCGCCACCAGCGAGTCTGTCGAGGAGTGAGCTTCGGCTTTGTCAGAAAAGCCTGGACAACAGAGTTGTCCGTGCGCACCGTGAATGGTGCCCCGTGCAGGTAGTGACGCCAGTGCCGAGCGGCATAAACTACTGCGAGAACCTCACGTGCGTGCAGGAGCTGACGGGAGTAGAAGGCTATCGGACAATCACCTGAGCGAGACTCGAAAGTGCCGTCCTCGGCGATGGTAGGAGAATAGTCAATAGAAGGCTCGTCAGTAGCTGGACGAGTAGGCGTCAGTCGGGAAGCAGTGGTAGGGGTAGGTGGTGGGAATCGAGGGATACGAGGATGAGAGGAATCAGGAGAGGAGGGGAAGACCTGAGAAAGCACTGCTCCTACAGCGAAGTCTGACGCATCTGTGGTAATGATAAAATGATGGTCAAAATCGGGTAGGTGAAGAACCGGTGCGCATGTCACCGCCTTCTTGAGGGCGCGGAAGGCGTCCTCGTGGAGGGGTGTCCAAGCCCAGGGTAGGTTCTTCCGGAGGAGGGTGGAGGTAAGGACGTAGGAATACCTAGCGTATCCCCGGATGAAGTTACTATAGTAGCTGGTCAGACCTAGGAAGCTGCGAAGCTGCTTGGCGAATGTGGGAGCGGGCCACTCCGCAATAGCAGTGATCTTTGCGTCGTCCATGTGGAGACCCTGGTCAGACACGTAGTGTCCTAAGAAATCCAGTTTGTGTTGGGCAAGGCGGCACTTGCTTAGCTTGGCGTAGAAGCCATGTCTGCGCAAGCGGTCAAGGACGTCGTGGAGGTGTCTGAGGTGCTCCTCAAGGGTACGACTATAGACCAGGATATCGTCGAGGTAGACGAGAATGTACTGCTCCAGGATGTCCCTGAAGATGTCGTTCATCGCCCTCTGGAAGGTAGCGGGTGCGTTGGTGAGGCCGAATGGCATCACCGTGAAC